ATTGTGAATTGTTTTATTTACAGAGACTTGAAAAATTCATCTCGGTCAAAAAATGGAATTAACACGTGAACATTTTTGTGCGATCATTTTTCACAAGTTTCGACGATGTATGGCGATGAAGCACCATCCTATAGCACTGTGAAAAACTGGTTTAATGAATTCGAAATGAAACGTCGTCCAAAAACGGCAGTTGTGCCAGAGAATATTGATGCCGTGCGTGAACTGATAATGCAAGATCGTCATGTGGCATACCGTGAGATAGAGGCATCCTTGGGCATTTCGAGCCAAATCCAACGAAAGTTGATCGTGGAAAAAGCACTTCGAAGCAAATGCTCGCCTGTTTCTTCGACAAAATTGGTCATGTAGCGACTGTTCCGCTTGAGCAACGAAGGACGGTCACTTCTGAGTGGTACACGACAATTTGTTTGCCTGAAGTCTTCGGAGAAATTCACCATGACTTCATTGTTCATTGTTCACCATGACAACGCGAGCTCTCACACATCGGTTCAAACCAGCGCCTTTTTGACCGGACAAAACGTCGAATTGATGGGTCATCCGCTGTACAGCCCTGACTACAGCACTGATTTTTTTAAATTTGAAATAAAAAATTGTTATATACATATTATACACGGTAGATAGATAAGGTATGTATATATATATCTAGGGTTGGTATTTATATTATGTTCTAATATAATGAAGTTCCGTTTCACTTTAGCACTTTTTTAGACAATAAACTTTATGCTAAAATATTTGAGAAGTTCAATTATATTTTACTACTGCAGATTTATTTATAATTATTTTATTATAAAAACTAGGCACATGCAAGACTTCTACAAGAAGTTTGAAAGTATTTAAGATATGGATGCTAGGCAATAATTTATAGAGGTATTTGTTTCTTACACCTCTCTTATTAAAATAAAAGACCGGGTATAGTGATTTTTAATTAATAACAAATCAATTATTTAAATAATTAAATGTCGAAATTTCGAATCGAATATTGGCAGTATGGTAACAGCGAATGGTTTTCCTACAATTGATAGCGATGCTCAAATTATCATAATAGAGAAGACATTTTTTAGCTAGTTGTGTTTGACCCATCAAGATTATTTTTGACTATAGTACTCATTTTAAAATGATGATATTATATATATATATATATATATTTACTCCTTTTATTCCACCGTTATTCGAAATGACAATATTAGTTGATATTTAATTTTTTTTTAGTAGTAATAACTTATAATACATTAAACAATTTTTACTTTTTTATTGTAATTTTGGCAGTATTTATATTTTTAGTTTGAATTTAGTTTATTAGCTCACAAACTTTTAACTACTTGAGTGAGACTATATAATCGTACATATGTTAACAACGACATGAGCTTCAATATTTATATTAAGAAGGTCTTTTAGCCTTTTTAGCCTGTTTTATAACACATAATATTCGAAACACTATTTGTTTAGTTTATTGACTGAGTGTTGCAAATAATTAAAATTAATTTTTTAAACGTAAACCTTTTTATTATTGAAGGTTATTGAGTATTGTCTATTAATAATCCAAATTTTATATATAATGGCTTCACCACATGAATACGATAAAATAATTAAAATAAATTACTCAGATCACCATTCAAAACATACGTATTATAAGTTTCATATTTAATTTACAGATGCTTTAAACAAAAGAGCCATAAAAAATACAACTCAACATTACTTGCGTTATTAAAGAATATTTTATTTCTACTACAAATATTTTAAAAACCCAGTTTTAACGAACTAAATATATCTGCAGTAATAGGGTTTTGAAATAGCAGACTATTCAAAATTTTTGAACAAATTTAACTGTTAAACACATTTTTGATGGTGGGATATTTTGATGGAAAATCAAATTTTAATAAGTGTTTAGAGGATTAGATCACACGATGACATAAGTCAATGGAAAGTATTTTAAAGGAGACAATATCGATTATGAAGTATAAAGTTGTATTTTCAATTTTCTGAAACTTTGTGATCAATATTTACACCATATTGATACTTATCAACCGATCTTTGGTAGCAGATGATCACATTCATAATTGTGCTGTAATAATTAAATGATTTGTATATCGTTTTATGCTCCATTCTTCAACTGTCAAATTAAAAAGAAAACATTATTATATTAGGGGTATTCAGGCAACAGATTAGTTGCTTAGTAGATGATTACAACAAAAATTTGCATTCAAAAAAGAAACTAAGCAGAGAATCTACTATTTCGGAGATTCTCAGATTAATGAAAATTTGATTAATAGTGTTGCCAATACCAAGTGTCGGCGCTATGAGCATAGGGTGTCTCATAAAGAAAATTCAAAAATAATAACATAAATTAATAAATAAAATTCAGTAAAACTATAATTTTAAAGGGATAAACTTCTATATATACTTCTTGATATATGACACGTTTGCAATTTTAGTTATATGATAAATTATATGATATGTTTGTGTCACCATAAGATAGATTTGTTTAATCTTTTTGGAAAATAATCAAAAAATTGGGAAGTTTGAGTTTTTGTTGAGCTAGCTTAGAATGATTGGTGTAAAAAGCTAAAAGAATCTGCAGAATTGTTGGTTGTTATATAATTTTAAAGTATCTAAAAATATTGTGTTTGACCATTGAAATAAACAAATAAATTTTATAAAATAATGTTAAGATGAAAAGTGAATCTACTACAATAATCTCGACCGCTAAAATGGTATGTCAGTCTCAGCTAACCAGCTAAATCAACACCAAAGCAGAATATTCATCAAAAGGTCAGAAAAGGATCAAAATGTGCCATCCGTTATGAGCTACTAAAACTTGATGAAACTATTATGGCTGGCAGATCTTTACAATTAGCGATTGATTTATA